AAACTAGTCCTGTACCTTTAGTTCTAACTTAACAACTCAAAGATGTCTTAAAATGTAATAAACTCATGACTAAATCACTGAGGTTTTTTTTTTTTTTTTTTTTTTTTTTAAACTTTTGCCAGACTTGCTTTTGAAGTATACTCTTTCAGCAAACAATTAGGTCTCTTGCTTTTAGGTACAACTGATACCATAGCTGCAAAGCAGGCCTGTTAATGAAAATGCTTTCACAGAGCTTTGTTGCCTCTACAATCTACTAGGAGGAAGAAAGCTGTGAAAATCTTCTCAAGTAATGGGATTGGTAGACTGACAAAATATAAGAAGGAATTCTTATGGAAAAAGCTACATTTCTATATGCATTTGTCTCTTTTAAAAAATTGAGTTATTTTCTGAGCACTGAGTTATGTTCTTTGACTATCTTTGGTTGTTTGCTTTGGTTGAAGTATTTGTGATGTCTCCATGCTCAGATAACACTGTTAGTGCAGAGCATAATGGGAAATCTCATCCCTCCTTCTTCAAGCTTAAAATGCAAACTGTAATACCTTTGAGGCAATCCTGCAAATAAATTTATAACACAGTGTGAAATCCATCTTAAAGTCTCAATTAGTCAGTTGTTTGCCTTAGAATATTCTGAGCTTCTGGCATAAGCAGTTAAAGTGATTGGGTCTGTAAAATTTCTGACTTTGACTAGTACTTTGGTGTCAGCATCCCACCCTTTCTGTTGGAGGTAGGTTGGGCTCTGTTTTATTGTGGAATGCCCTGGGGCCCAGACGTAGTTTCTGGGTCTGTTTGCCTCCATCCCCTTCCCTCTGCTTTGCTTTCCCATCCTATTAACACTGTGAGTGAAACTAAGTTGTCTTTAAGCAGGAAATTGGCACTGTTTAAAACATGTTCAAATATGGTTTCTGGTTTTAAGCTGTCTGCTCAGAATGTATGGCTCTCCACTGCAAATCCAGCTCCTTAAGGCATCTGGAATCATGGGAGACATTTATATTTGTACAAGGGGACCTTTGTACAAAAAGAGTTCCTGGTACTCTTTTTCCCTTCCTGTCAGTCACTTTTCCCACCTCTTAGGGATGGTTATTTTCTATGAACCTACTGAAGACATCTACTTCTGTTTGTTGTTCTTGATTGATAGAAATTTTTATGTTCAACCCTGTAATGATTGCAGCCTTCATGTCCTTGACTGGAACCTGGATTCTCCTATTAAAGATTGTTGACCTTGGGTGCTGACAGAAGATACTGCACATAACTTACCGAAACTTACACATTAACAGCCATATAAAAATTACAATTTGCTATGATGTTGATAAACAGAAAGTTTTGTTAAGTTGGAGGCTTAGATTGGTGGATTGTTCTATAATCACCATAGCATGAAACTGTACACAACTGATAAACAGATCATGCAAGAAGTTTGAGATTTTACATGTGACCATGCTGAAAATCTGTTTAGCTTGTCCGTACGTATGGCACATTAAGGAAGTTTGTCTTGTATGATTTTGTTTAACGCAGTGGGATCCGTAAGCTATTCTGACTTGTGTAACAGACTGTAGTGTGATTTTTTTTTTTTTTCCTACATTTTTTTTTCCTGTTGAATATTGTTTATGCTTAAGTTTGCTGTTTTTATTTCAGTTCTTTCAGGTTTCAATAGAAAATATGTTGTTTTAACAGTAAAACTTAACTATTTATCAGTTGTTTTTATATGCTTTCTAGCACTGGAGGTAAGCAGAGCTGTGGCTCTCTTGTATCAGCCCTTGGAGGAATGCAGTACAGGTCTCCAAGTCTGCAGGATTCTGCAGTCATTGGCAGCACTAACAGTTTCACAGCCTGTGTCTGGATTCTCTCATCTGTAAAATGAGATAATGCCTTCCTACATGGATGTTGTAGAAATAACATCCATGTAATAAGCTATGTTTACTTTCCTTAAGCAGCGTGATGGCTCTTAATAGGGTGTAGTGTAACATCACAATCTTCTGGAATAATGGCCTTTACGTACACGACAAGACTTGAATGTAAGCTTTTACTTGCTTTAATGCTTCAATCTGCAGACATCTGAAAACTGAGCCAATGTCTCTTCCTATGGAATTTATAGCTCTAAGCTTAGTTTGTATTGCACTAACCTATGGATGCCATTGAACAGCTATGTCAGGCATCCCAGAGAATAAGCTCTGTTATTCCCAGAAAATAAGCTCTCTGGGGTAGCTCTGTTACTTTCTTAGGCTAGTAACAAAGTGAGTAAACAGTGAAGTTTGGTTTTCTGGAAAAATACAAAACCAAAGGTGTACGTTTTATGAAGTGTGGAAGATCCTTCCCAAGGATTTGAACATCATTCAGTATCATTCTTCCCTAAGCGAGTAACAATCCAGTCTTCAGGCTGGTCCCTGAACACTTTTGATCAGCAATTTGCTGTGCTGCTCTAACTTTCAAGTTTGCCTTTTCCAATTCCCTATTTGTGTCCTAACATAAAAGGAATTTTACTGATATTTCATTGATGCTGTTTTGATGTTATTGCTCTGTGGGAAAGCACAGAACTCTATGGCCACCAAACTTGCTTAGAATTTGCAAATGAGGAAACTGATATCAACATGGATAGTATATTGTGGCTCTTTCTGTTATGATTTGAAGAAATCAAATTTATTGTCTATTTTCTTGATTTCTGAAACTGCATGGTAGACATTTGATAACAGAGAAGGAAGTGTTAACTATGCTCTGAAATAAACAGGAAATAGAGATGTTACTGAGTTCTCATTTAGCTTAATCTTAACATGCTATGCTTTACAAAGTCTTTATGAGACCCAAAGTGATAGAGGAAGGTTGCCTGTTGTGTTTGATGAGATGGGGGTGATTACCAGAGCCTGCTGAAGCACTTCAGGTTTGAGATAGTCTCAAGAGTGCTTTTTAGCAGTAGGAAAACAGTAGGATGCTTCATGGATTTTGTACTACTTTGAGAGTATGCAGCATGTTATAGCCAGAATAGACAAGCGGTTGGGAATTGTTCTTGTGCAGCATATGAACTTGATTAAACCTTGCACCTCTGAGCAGTTTATAGTCATAGTTGTTAATCAAGGAGCTAAGATGCAGTGTTTATAAAATGAAGATCTGCTGTTGAGGAGTAAACAGCACACCCATTCCAGTAACAGAGACCCTCTTTGGCAGCAGGTCAGCACAGCGTGCCTGCAGCAACTCTCCTGTAATGCACTGAGGGGCATGAGAGGTACGTGCATCTGTTGCATAAGGTTCACGTGCCTTACCTGGGTTCTGTACAGAGGTAGTGGATGTTGAGATGTTAGTCTCAGATATTGATATTGTATTGATGTACCTTAGAGCACCTGGGTTGAACTGAAAAGTTGCATGCTATTTTGATAAACTTTCTCAATGTTCTTAGGCTTTCTGCAATCATTTAATTCTTATTTTTTCAGTCCTTATCCTCACATGCTGAGCTGTTAAGAATTGGCCTCCTTTTTTTCTTCATAGTTGTCACTTTCGTAGTAAGGGCGAATCAGACCTTGATGCTGCAATGATGCATACTGTTACAGGTGCTTCACATTTATCTTTTTTTTAAAGAAAAACTTTTCATAGGTAAATATGAAAGTAGTATTTTTTTCCTCAATACTGTCAGCAGAATTATAGCTTGTGGCAGTATGTGTTGTTTACAAAGGCACCAAAGCAGTGCCTAGAGGTGAATCTAGGCTGAAGTTCAAATGTCATCAACCTTTCTATAGCAAAGCCACCTTGCTGCAGGGTAAAGAAGCAAGCCTGATGACTCGCATTGTGATACAGTATAATGCCACCAAAACTCAGCCCTGATTAAAATCTGAATGGAGCTACCAAGATGAACTTAGCTTGTTCAGGGAATCAGTCCAAGCACATCTCTTTTCCTTTAACAGCTTTGTACTTTCTTGAATGCAGTTGTCATGGAAGTGATTTGTTTAGCTTTCTGTTTTGTTCTTTTTGATTTGTAAACCAAAACACTGTGTACAGAAACTGTGTGGAATTTATTTTCAGCCATATTTCTACGATTCATCCAATTACATGGCTCAAATGCCTGTTTACTTGATTGCTTGAAAGCTTTCATCTGTATAGTTTATTTCAGCTGTTTAATTTGAGTGCTCTTGGATGTTGTTTTGTCTGAATTTTGGAGTTCAGCTTTGAATGCACCAACTTATATTCACATTGTCCTTTTTTTATTAGATAAATGTTTTTACTTTAGTTGCATCAGAGGTTTATGTCAAAATGCATGTTGTAATATATCTTTATGGCTTAAAGTGATCTCGCTGTTTTCTGCTGGTTCCTGCCTGTATGTGCTCTTAAAATAAACTGGTGAGGTGAGGCTCAGATATAATTCTTTTGGGTCTTTTGTATGTATGTGCCATTTTGAGGAAAATTGTAAACTTGGATGATGGAGTCTAGAGAAAAAAAAAAGAAGAGTTTCGGGCTTTGAGGGGGATTTTTTTTTTTTTTTTTTTTTTTTTTTTGAGTGCATTCATGTTATCTTATTGTTGATTTGTTTACTTTTTGCTGCCTCATCTCTTTGTCAGTGAAGCAATTGCAGTATTTTGCCTCTTTTTTTTATTTCTTGAGTCTGGAAAGCATAGGGAGGAGTGTGAAGCATGGCAAGGGCATTACCTTTGCAATGTCCAAATAAGCATATGTCCATATAAGCATATTATATATTTAGAAAAGTTTATGTAAGTCCTGAGGATTTTCTTCAGCACTGTTATAGCATGTAATCTAGAGGTACCTTTAGTTGTTTCGCTGTCAAGACTTGAATGACACCAGTAAAATGTTGCAGCCTGAGAAAACGTAGGCTTAAGATCTCAGGTAGAATAGGTAAAAGTACACATATATAAATATATGGAAGGAATGAGGGGAAGAATAGACAAATTCTGTTGATAGAGAAGGAAAAACTGCTCTTAAAAGAAAAAAAAAAAATATCTAAACTTATTTCTTTAAAACAGAAGAAAAAACACCTTCCCAAAAAAATGTGTTTGCTTTTGTTTTAGAAAATCTAATGAGGCCCCTTAAGAACTATGGAATCGCATGGTGAGCATGTTTTAATTCAAATCAAGCTTCTTGACAGATATACTTAATATCATGCTGGAAGGTTAAGTTTTTGCTTTTTTTGTTTCAGCATGTCTATGGGCTTCTTGATAGAAGAGACTGCCCCAGTTGTGTGGAGAGGACTCATGGTCATGTCAGCTGTTGAGAAATTGTTGAGACAGGTAAGGATTTGTGTTTCAGACTAACCAGTTAATTTAAAATGCATCTGATATCTTTTTGTATTGGTGGTGAGCATTTTTGTATCTTGGTCTTTTGTATGAACTTGTTTTATTGACAGGCTTCTGAAGAAGTGTTCTGTACACTAAGGATTTATTTTTGCAGTGTCATTTGCTTAACTGAAAAGTTTTCACTGGGGAACCAAACAGCATAGATCTTTTTGTGAACGTTTGACCAGAGCTGTGGAGCTAAATACCATTTACAGTTCTGCTTACTTAAGTTTAATAACAGACAAACTACAAGCAATATGCATTTTGAAAAAACTATCCCTGGTGGTTATCTCACGTGTGCTAGTAAGATCAGTAGTATGGTACTTATATAATGTTGTTATGGTCCTTGGATTTGCAGTTTTCTAGGTGTTTTTGAACTAATACTTGTAAAGCAAATTGAAAAAGCCTTCTGGGTTTTTTTTTTGTTTTGTTTTTTTTTTTTACTTCCTATGCATTTCAGGTATTTATTATGACTTAGACAACTTTGTCTTCTGTTTAGTTGCTTTATAACTGAAGAGTTCCTCTTCAGGTAAGAGGGAAATTTAATACTTACTGTATTTACCCATTGCCCTTACATAAAACTGTATTTGATGACTGAATTACCCAATTTTTAAAGAACTTTCCTTGTATTTTTCTTTAAAGAACTTTGAAGGTGTCTAAAGGATTAAATGTATAGGTATCTGTACTTATCTGTAACTGTATTCCTTTATGCATTTGTTTATTCAACATCACTAAGAATTCTTGGATGGCATTTGACGTATGACAGGTACATGAAAATCATTATGTAGGATCTCTATGTAATGCAGGTAGATTATTGGTTATTAAATTTCCTGGCATATGGAAGCAGGGTGGCTTTCTTGTCAGACTTGTGATTTCTTGACAGACTTTTTCCTTCTTAGTGTTGAATAGATTTGTAAAGAGCTAATGAGACAAACAGCTGAAAAAATACATTAAGTTTTTGTGTTTGGACTTTGAAGTGACCCATTATATTTTGTAGCTGACATCTATTCCAAAGATTTAATGTATACAACTTAGAGATCACTGGGTTTCTGTATACATTCTGTAAATGCTTCCAAACCTCATGCTGCCTTAATGACTAGAAAAGAAGTTGTGCTTTTTTCTTTTTCTATAGCCTGTTTCCAGTTTCACTAAATTCTCCTCTTCTTCTAACACAGACTTCAGAATAGTGACAAATGTTGCCCTAGTCAGCAGTGTGAGCACTCCAAAATTTAAGGAAGAAACCCTTTGTCTAGACTTGGCATTTAAAACTAAGGGGCATCCCTGCCATTAGCTGTGGAAGGCTGTTCTGCCCTCTTCATGTGTCACATTGTCTTGGCCAGACTTGCAGAAAAGCACAGAGCCTAAAACTTTAAAGCCATAGCTCAAGTTAGCACCTGCTATACTCGTATTCTCAACCTGAGACACTGAAGGCCTTTGGCATGCGCTGCAATACTACTACAATCAGTGCTGTCCCCAGATGGGAGCATGTGCCAGCAGCCCAGTAGAGGGTGTGAATGACGCCATGCATTGAGCTCATAAGTTTCCTAGGAGCTGGGGAAGCAGATGCACACTGCTAATGCAGGGTCCCTTAATGTTCAGGGCATCAGTGATTTCCCTGACAGTGAAACCTCAATTCTGAAAGAGGAGCGCTGAAGAGCTAGTTAATCTCTTGTGCCTGAGGGCAGGATAATTTTTTTTGCTTTACTGAAATTTTTTAAACTATATTTCTGAATTCTTTTCTGTGAAGATACCATTAAGACCCAGGCACAGAAGTTTTAATAGATCTCCATTGTTATCTGTTGGAGAAGTTTGTGTTTTTTTCTGTGTAGCGTATACTTCAGAAGCTGCCTCCTCATTTGCATAGGTCCCCTTCAGCACTCATTCCTTTTACTGGGACTGTTCTGACTCAGTACTGTTGTCTTGGTGTATTTGTTATAGAAGTGAATTCTAAATACAGAAAATATACTGATGTAACTTACTCATTTGAGAGTTACTTGAAGTTTGTACTTGAACAGTAATATTGCTGAGGAGCTCTGAGTGTAAGCATCAAGTAGAAAGCTGAGAAAAGAAAGGGGGGAGGCTAGCAAAACTTGTACTCTGCTTTGAACTGCTGTTGCTGCAAGAATTTTAAATGGTCATTACCAGTGTCCCATACAGTCTGTATTGTAAGTTTTCTAGCACCGTTTCCATTTCTGTCTGTGAACGTCTTGACAGATCAATAGCAAGGGAACAAATAGAGGAGAACAGACATAATCCGGAAGTGATTCAAGAATTACAAAATTGGCTGCTGTACATTATAGGGTATATTGTGGCAGTTGTTTGCTGAGTAACCTTGCAGAGGGGAAGTGATGCTGCAGTTGGCTGCCAATTTAAGAGTTGCTATAGTCATAGCAGAAATGCAAGTGAAAGGGAATCTTGTTCATACTGTAAAGGATATCAGCTGTTGGTTTCTCGCGTCTTAACAGGTATGAAATAACAGTTCATCAAGTCAAAATATAAGCATGGAACTTTAAAAAAAAAAAAAATCAAGATAAGTTGGAAAAAAAAAAAAAGGGAAGCTGCAGGTATAATTGAAGTGCATATTTCAGCACGAAGTGCTTACATATATTTGTCACATCAGTAAAGTTGAGTCACTACCTATTTGTCCCCAGCCTGTTGCTGTAAGCTGTAGGGCTGGTTTCAGCAACGTAGAGAAGTGGATTGCCCACAAGTAATTGGGATGTGATACCTTCCTATGTGGAAACAGGATTTGAACTCAATGATCATTGTGGGTCCCTTCCAACCTAGGGCATTCTGTGATTCTCTGATGTGGATTATGGATGTCAGCAGTTCTGTTCAGTGGAAACAGTTGCCTTGTAGTGAACCCAGAGAAGCTGCTTTCTTTTTGAGGCAGGGGTCTCTGGTTGATTAACAACAGAATTTCTTACCCTGACATGTCACTGTAACTTATGCTTTTGAAGACTACTCAAATCTTATGTGGCAAGACTCTTCTATTTGTTCCTTGTCGTGCTCCTCTAGAGCACCAAGAGCATCCTGGGCATTGGCAGCATCTTTGGTATAGTATAGTTTCAAACTAAGATGTCGGCACTGCTAAGTATATTGTGAGCTGTAAAGGTTTCTTATGTGCTTCTGAAAAGAATGAACACATTTTCCCAGAAAGACAATGAAGCTTCTCCTGCAGTGGCTCAGTTGAAAACGAAAAGTCATTAAATACATTTCCTCTTATCTAATTTTATTTCCTCTGTCTCTTCCTTGCTCCTTCTTTTAGCAACATTGTAATGCCTCTGTTTAATGGAATGTATGTACTGAATGAAAATGAAATGAACTTTCACTGGGAAGAATATAATTGGAAAAGAAAGAACACAGGGAAGTAAGCAGAAATGATGCAAGCCTTTCAATGCAGTGCATTTGCACATGAATGAAAGAAAACAGTGCCTTGCACTTAAAAGCATGGACCAACTTCATCCCCTGTAGATAGATGCTGAAAGAACATAGAACACAAAAATGATTTTATTAGAGAAACCCAAGGTTGACTAGGGCTGTATTCCTAAGATCTAGTCTTGCCCTTAAAAAATCACAAGCAAAACACCCTGTAACTGTTTATGTGGCTATTACAATTGTACAGTTTGGCTAGACATAAAGTTCTTTGTGCCACTTTACTTTTGGAACTGGTCTTTGCAAGAGAAGAGTTGATTTGAAACCAACACTTAACAGAAGTAATGGTGGTAACATTTGTATAGAGGTATGTGTATGCAAGTCGATCTTTTTTTTTTTTTTATAGCTTAATTCTTAATGCTTAGTTATCATACAAAATAGCTGTAGAGTATCATGATTGGAAGAAGGGGAGATGCAAACAAATTACTTAATATTTCAAAAGGGAATTTATTGGACCGTAGGTTGTAGGGTATTTTAAGAGCCTCCATGAAAAAGTTGCCATAAAGGCAACAACACAGAGAATGGAACCCTGAAAATGTAAAATGATTCAGGATTAGATTAAGTTTCAAAATATTCTCGGCAAGCAAAAACTATAGCAGCTATACTGTTAAGGATTTTTGATCATTGCCTGTAGTTGTCCATCTACATAGAGGTAATTATAGTAATGGAATTAGAGGCTATTTCTTTTTTGACATTCATTAGTAAATAAGTTATTATGTGCAGTTGGCCACTCTTTCAGAAGTGTGTATCTACTACTTTCTCCTTTGAACCATTTAAATCTGAGAGATTGCGTATATGGATTCAGGGACAATTTTTTTCTTAAGTATAATTTATTTTAGGTATACATAATGCTGCACTTGAGGAGGCAAGAAAAATAGATAAGATATTGAGAGCAAATGTATTTGTTTAAAAAAAAAAAGGTTTTAAAATTGAGACAAAAGACTTGGTTTAAAAAAAAAAATTACTGTTGTACTATGCATGCTCTGTCAGTAGAACATTCAATATATGGTGTCTTTGTACATTAGTCTGATCTCATTTACCTTTTGTTTATAAACAGATGTATTAAATCTCGTAAATTCTTTAACATATGTTTTCATTGTTTTGTACCATCTTGCTTATCTCTGTTTATTAAAACATTTGAATAGCTAGGGGAAGAGGTTCTAAATTAGAAGTTATATGAAAGCAGTATATTACAAGAACACTAAAAGGCAGGTGAGTATTATGTGCTGAACTGTCTCATTGATTAGTATGGTTTCTTAAAATTTGTCCTTTGGTTTCTGAGTTTGTGTATTTTGTTTTGCAGTACTTTTGGGACTGTGGAGATTTCATTGTGTATAAATATGGTGTTCAGTGCAGTAGTGAGTTAAGGCTTCACCAAAAAAAATATGTAAATAAAAAGACTATTATTTACAACTTCCATGTTGTACAATCAATGAATATACAGATGATACAGTATATCCAGGAGTTTGGCTGATGTAGTTATTATACTAGAGTAGGAAAGAAGGACACTCTCCCTATCC